TCCAAGCACTGTCGCGTGGCTGGCCACTGCCGCGATGCCTCGGCCACATCCGAGGTAAAAAAAAGAAAAAAAAAAAAAGAAGAAAGAGAGAGCATTCCGTCGCGTGGCTGGGCCACGGCCGCGATGCCTCGGCCACGGCCGAGATTTTAAAAAATTAATAATAATAATGCAATTCCGCGGTGCATCTTTCCATGTTCTAGCGGAAGATTCACTCTCGTTTTTTTTTTTTTTTTTCCAAGCACTGTCGCGTGGATGGCCACTGCCGCGATGCCTCGGCCACATCCGAGGTAAAAAAAAGGAAAAAAAAAAAAAAAGAAAGAGAGAGCATTCCGTCGCATGGCTGGGGCACGGCCGCGATGCCTCGGCCACGGCCGAGATTTAAAAAAAAATAAAAAAATAATGCAACTTCGAACTTGTTTTCACCCAAGCTTGGAGTTTCGAACTTGTCTTCGCCCAAGCTTGGAGTTTTTTTTTTTTGTTTTTTTTTTTCAATCATAGTTCAGGGCCCTGTCTTCTACCCTTTGGGTGGTAAGAGCCCCAGAGGGTAGAAGCCGGCATGGCTTCGATGGCTCCTTTCTATTGGTGGGGAGCTGCACCTGCCGGAAACCGGGTCCAGCGTCCCTTCCAATGGAACCAACATCAGGTAACTTCTACCATCAGGTAACATCAGGTAACTTCTAGAAGTCAGGAAATTCTCCGTGGGGAACTGCACCTGCTGGAAACCGGGTCCAGCGTCCCTTCATGCTCCATGTGTCCTGCAATTTGAACAGAAACTCGGCAGGCTTTCCAGGCCTCTTCAACAAAAGGCACCAGAAACTAAGTTACCCTCTCGCCCTATCAGCCTGCAGTGCCAGGAACTCATCTAGGTAACTAGATATTTCAGAGAGATTCAACAGAGAAGCTGCTCCGGTTGTCAGCTTTATCAGCCTGCAGTACCAGGCACCCATCTAGACATTCACAAGATATTTCAGAAAGTTCCAATAGGGAAGCTGCTCTGGGACCCCAGCGTACACAGCGTGCTCAGGCCGTATGAGAGCCTGTGCAGTGTCCAGATGACGTTCATGATTGCTGCCCTACAAGCAGAGGCCACATGAACCCAGCTCCTGCCTACTTGCTTGGCATTGTACAGGATACCTTCTACCACAAACCTCTCATCCCACTGAACCAGCTCTTCCACATGTTTGGCCCACAGCCCTGCCCACCACTTCCAGATTCGTTTTGACTCGATACATTCCCACCACAGGTGGGTGGCCGTCTCCACTGACTTCCTACACCTGCAACACATAACTTCTACTGGCATCCCGTTACTGCTGAGCCAGTTAGCCGTGCAGACAGCCCTGTGGGATTGTAACCAAGCCAGGCTACTAAATTTAGCAGAATTAATTTTGTGTAAGCTTCTCCACAGCTTCCTCAGTACACTTGAGGAAATATTGCCCAGAGGTTGTCCTCTTTCCTTAACTTCCATTGTCCATTTGTTCTTGACCTCAAGGGAGACCCACCGTGTTTTTACCTGAGCTCGGTACCCCACATTCGGCTTGTATTCTAGAAGAGGGACCGACCGAGTTGGCTCTAACAGCTGCCAGCCCCAGTCAAGTGGAAGAGCCTTCAGGTTATGTGCCGGTAAGATCCCCATTGGGCAGAGGAACTTTGGCTGTTCCTTGCCTTTCTTCTTTGTTTGGATGACGATGGACGTCATTGAGGGCTCCAAAGCTATGACTTCCACCTCTGATTGGTCAGTAGAGACGAGAGCTCCTTGGCTTGTCTGTTCGAGCGACCCGGCCCTCACCACCATTTCACTGTTGCTGATACACCCTTGGACTTTCCAGATCCTCACAACACCCTCCGAGCTTTTGCCTCTGATCCAGCTATCTTCGTATGCTGGGGCCGGATTACATAGAACATCCTTCCACCGCTGAGGGATGCTATTGATAACTTCAGTCACTCTACTCGTTTTTTTTTTTTTTTTTCAAGCACTGTCGCGTGGATGGCCACTGCCGCGATGCCTCAGCCACATCCGAGGTAAAATAAAGGGGAAAAAAAAAAAAGAAAGAGAGAGCGTCCCGTCGCATGGCTGGGCCACGGCCGCGATGCCTCGGCCACGGCCGAGATTTAAAAAAAAATAAAAAAATAATGCAATTTCGAACTTATCTTTACCCAAGCTTGGAGTTTCGAACTTGTCTTCGCCCAAGCTTGGAGTTTCGATCTTGTCTTCACCCAAGCTTGGAGGTATTCCTGCGAATTCGAAACTGTGCAGCGGTCACCCGCGGAGTTGTCTCAAAATAGAATTAAAGACACCCCCAATTTTTTTTTCTTTTTTTGTTAAATTTTTGGTGCTTTTAATTGCCAAAAATGGAGTTGTTGGGGCCCAGACGTCCGGGACCCCCCTGACTGTCCGGCCAGGACGTCCTGCCATCGGACAACTGGTAACAACTTTTTTCACAAAATATAATGGGACCTATGACGCATGTGACACCCCAAAATTGAAAAAACATGTCTTCTGGAACCTTGGAACCGTTAGGACAATTAACATCAACATAGATTCTGAACTAGTTACCACAAGGTTGTATTGGGCTCCCGGGAGGGGTATCTGCATAGTTCTGCATGGTTGTGGGCCTGCAAAACCAGGCAGCATAGCATTGGCTCCTTGTCTTTGATGTCAAGCCTGAGGGACGCTGGACCCGGTGTCCAACTCCTTGTCTTTTATGTCAAGCCTGAGGGACGCTGAACGCGATGCACAGCAGGTGCAGCTCCCCAGCAATGGAACGGAGTCATTCGCAAACAGGGTACGTGGAGGGGGTGTCTGCTCTTGTCAGCACCTCCCGCATGCCCATCCGCGATGTTTCATAAATTAATAATAATAAAATAAAATGAAAAAGAAGAAATAGTTATTCAGCTAATTTCAAGGGCATTTACCAATACGGCGAGGAGAAAACTTCGATCCACCACACAACATGCGTAAAGAAGAGGAAAAGCAGAACCCAATGTTTTTCTTTTTTGCAGATCAGCACTTGCAACATTTATGGTTTATCTGTGTAACCGCGCGTTCATTGAACGAGGGTTTACCGCTCAATTTTTGAACGGAATGAACGCGCGTTCAATGAACGCGCATTCAATGAACGCGACCGAACGTGCTGTTCAATTCCGCGGATTGTAAAAAAAAAAAAAAAAAAAAAGCCAACAACGCGGCCTACAACGTTCATACGCGCACTGATGGAGAGAGAGAGAGACAGACAGACAGACAGACAGAGAGCACCATAGGGAGAGAGAGAGATTCTGAGATAGAGAGGGAGAGGGAGAGAGAGAGAGAGAACCATACAGAGAGACAGAGAGAGAGAGAGAGAGAGAGAGAGAGAGAGAGAG